GGTTAAGTGAATGATCTTTGAAGGCCCCTTCCAGCCCAAACCACTCTATGGTCTCTCACCATTACTCCCTCCTGCCTCTCCAGGTTACGCCTCCCAGAAAAGAAAATAGATAAATACCGAAGGAACTTTATCCACAGGCTGCTTAATGTGGAAAACAACCCAGCACAGAAAATGATTGTGTGCTCTTGACGGAGCTCCTCGGAGCAGCACACTCGAGGCTGAAGCACCCAGGCTGCGCTGGGTGGACAACACAGCCAGGGCAAGCATTGCCCCGGCGCACAGCTCAGCTCGGCGGGGCTGGGGCACGGAAGGCATCACGAAAAACAGAACGGAAAATATTTTATGGGATTCTTTATGAGCAGTTACTAAAGAAAAGGGATTGCTCCCACGTAGGGAATCTGTGGCTGACAGGGCTGTTCTGTTGCTGCCGTCAGTGCAGAGAAAGGGCAGGGCCACCCTGGCCATGGCTCTGGTTGCCAAGCTGGCCACATGCTTGCTGGCAGGGGGTTTGCTGCGCCAGTGCAGAAGCTCAGGCAGGAAAGGCATGGATGGGCCGCAGGGAGCAAACTCTGCTCCTCTGCAGCCTAGGGACAGTCGTGCCCAAAACCTGCCTCTGACAGGTGCTGCCTTGCACTGGCACCCCTAGACCTCTCCGACAGCACCCCCAGGACTCTGCTCTCCCCAAAATCCACTCCCAGCACTGGAAGTCATGCTGACAGGCTCCCAAGCAGGGCTGTAAGCCCAGACTGCAGCAGGGACACAAAGCCTCCGTGCAAAACCAAGAGATCCATCTGCCACCTGGTGTCCAAAAGCAGGCCTGCACCGTGACCCCAATTGCCCACAGACTCCCATTTTAACCTGCCTAAACGGTAAATCCTAGTCCCATCGGGACCAGCAGCACCCTACGCTGCTGCAGAAACACCAAGTGTCACCCTACCTGTCCTAACGCCTGCAGGTTAGGGGACAGCAGCACAGACCTTCAGGGAACACCTGGAGGTTTCCCCTTGCCCAGCTTAATTCCCTCCTGCAAGGAAACTGCTTGCCAGGCTCCCGAGTCCTATGGACACCTCAAACTATGAAGCTTCATGAAAAAGAAAAAAAAATAAAAATATCTGGACACTGAGAGAAACAGCCTTCAAGTTAGAAATCAAAAGAAGAGGGGAAACACAAAGCAGATGCTTTCAGTAGCAGCAGCTGCTGGGACTGGAAGTTTGGGGATACTGCAGAGGACCAGAGCCCGGACTGCTGATAAAAAGCAGCATAAAATGGCCTTAGAGTGAAATCTGGGTGTCCCTGCAGCCAATGCCACCACCAAGGCAGGTCCTGGGCCATGCCCTTCAGCAGCCAGAGGAGCCAGGGCTGGCCCTGGGGCAAAGCACCGAACTGCAGCCATACACTTTGGGGAAGAAGAGATTTCTCTGATGAACATGCAATTCTCTTCCCCTGACCAAGAAGAAAAGCCCAACAGCACCAGACTTTTCACCCCTTCCACCTTTTTAAGGAAAATAAGGGTGGGGATGTCTGTGTACATCACCTTTCAAGCCCTCCTATTCATACATCCCCCTCTAATGCGCAGCTGCTTGCCCTAAGCACTGGGCCATAACACAGTCCCAAACCCTGTCCTCTGGGCTGGGGCACGTCCCCTCCAAAGGGCAGGGCCTGGACCTGCAGACAGAATGAAGGTCTGAGTGTGTGTGGGTAGGAGTGCTCCCTCTCCCCAGGCGCTGCACACACACGGCGCTTGCATCCTGCCACTCTCCTGCCCCACGTGCAAAGGTGGAGAAATAGCTCCATAAATGTTTAACAGTGAGAGAGATGTTACAGAGAGCACTCAGAGAGGGGGGGACGAGAGCCCCAGCATCTACCTGGTAATGCAGGAGGAAGGAGAGAAGAGAAAACCAGTGAGAAAAGCCATAACTGGCTGTACACAGCACCAAGCAGACATCTCTGCCCTTAACCCAACTATTGCGACAGGTAACCAAGCAGAAGCAAAAGGGATGGTGCAGAAAGAAAGCACAATATCCCTACTCGAGAGGATGCAAGGCACAGGCGGTGGAGCAGTGCATCATGTGTCACAATGTCCTGTCACGCCACAAACCCTGCTCGGGAGTCACGCCAAGATGCAGGCAATCGTGCAGCCATGGCTTAGCCAGGAGATTCCTCCCTTCCCTCATAGCTAAAGAGGACCACAGCATCTGGAAGGGCCTCCAGGTCTTCACAAGATCTTACTAAGGACTGCCAGCTTATTAAGCCAGCTTACACAGGAGAGACAACTCAGGTCCCAGCCGAAACCAGGACACCACCAGAGCCTTTAAAGGTGGCAGAGAAAGCATGTGCCAGCACACTGCAAGCCAGGCCTCCTGCATGGTTTCAGAAGGACCAGGCACTTCGGGTCCCTGTGTGCTCTGCCCTGCCCTCTCTGCACGCAGAGGCAAAGAAGAAATCACCTCCTTCTACAGAAAACCAGCTTTTCTACAGAGTACAGAAAGCAGGGCCATGAAACCCCTCAGCCAGGGTAATGTGAGATGAGACACGAGGGAAAGGATGAGCTTGCTGGGGTGAAAGAACAAGGTGTAAAGTGTCCTTTAAAATGTAGGTCCTACCTCAGTCCAATGGGGTCTTTGCTGCTGTATGGCTGTCTGAGAATCCTCTTTGGAGACAATCCCCATAGAAGCAGTTGAGGTACACAGGCTCCCTCAAATCCGAAGCCAAGGTTCAGGAGGGGGAACTCCTCATGGAGGTGGTGAGATGCCAGAACAACCTAGGAGTGGAGGAGCTGGTGGGAATTCTCCAGAAACAGTCCTGGTAGTGGACGGGTGGTGGTGACTGGATGTTCCCTGCAAAGCTGCAGGCAGGAAGAAGAGCCTGAAGCCATTTCTCTCCTGGTGCCTTCCAGATCTTCTTTCAGCCTCTCCATCTGAAGCAGAAACAAGAACACGCCAGTGGTCAGCTCATGCTCAGTTGCCTAGAGTAAACAGGTACCACCCTGAAGCATGTCCCAGATGATCAGGTCTATCTCAAATCCCCATCCTTCTCCTCACGCGATGCATGCCAGCTTCCCTTGTCAATGAAAAATGAGCAGAAGGCAGCATAACAGGGGACCCCTGCCACCACCTGGGGACTTGAAGTTGTCCTCCCACCAGCTGATAAGAGGAAAAGATTCATTCCTGCAGCAGGGTGACCTCAGAAGAGGTCTGGTGAGCAAGCTACAGCTGGAAGCACAATAGTGAAGTAGAGTCTGCTCCCAGCCCCGAAAGTCAGTGGTTGAAACAGGCCTCAGAGACACGTGGTGGTTTATTAGGTCTGTCTCAACTGTTAGGAAGCTGGAGAATATATAGGAAAGTGTCCCAGTGATGTATGTCCATGAAGATCAAACAGGCACACTGTGTAGCATAGAAAGAAACCACCAATTCTCTGCACCATCCTAGTGTCAGTGAGAATAAACAAGGAAGAAAGTCCCTGCAGGATAGCCAGAGCGTGTGCTCTTATGGTGGTGTATCCGCACCATGGCCAGCCCATAGCCCTCGCTGTTTGACACCTCGGAGACCCTGACAGACCTTCTCTTGTGCTGCACGACCCCTTTTCACCACATGCCCTCCTCCCTCAGCTTTTGACCCAACCCTGTCATCAGGCACTACAAGCCTGGCGAGATAGAACCTCTTGCCCACAGTATCCAGTATCTCAGAAAGGAGAGGTGTCCCCTGGCCAGCTCACTCCTGCCTCGTGATGGGGCAGAGGCAGAGCAGGAGCTGCCACAACCAACTGCCCTGTCCCAAGGAGCCCAAGGACTGCAGCAAAATTAGCCCCAATTTCCCCTCCCTCCGATCTCTGCTTTCTGAACTTGTCAAAGGCAAACAGCCAGAAGAAGGCTTAATAACAGAGATGGTTTTCTTCCATCAGAGGAGCTGCTTACAAAGGTTTGTAGTCACCAAGAAAGGGATTTCTATAGGGGTTTAATTGCAAGACCATTTGTTTTATATAAATAATTGCAAGCAGCTTTATCTTGCTTTCCATTATTTTTCTCAGGGGTAAGGCACTCAATAAGTTTCCAAAGAAATACCAGGATGCATTTTCTATTCTATCAGACAAGGGACTTAGGAGCAGAAATGTCCACATTCATATCCAGAAGTTTCCTTAACTGTTTGGTCTTTGTTCTCCAGAGAGCAAAACCAAGTACGCACAGACTGCCTGGGCTCCAGGCAGAGCACTCGGTGCAGCGATAGGAGACTGCTTGAACCGAGGATACCAGCTAACACTGAAAAACACGATCACAACATTTCTGCCTTTTCCTCCCCCACGCTTTTGTTAATACAAAAAAAGCAACTCTGAGAATATACTTATCAACTTCTGGGGGAAGTCAGTGTGTCCAGGGAAAAGCCAAGACACTCCAGGGTCAGTCCCACATAAGCCAGTTCTCTCCAGGGCAGATCTGGGTGATGCTGAGCTGAAAGAAGTGTGTGTGGGAGTGCTGGCCAAAGTACAGGAGGAAAGATTCAAGACAGGCAACTCTCTCCATGTTAAATCTAAGACTCAAACCCTCTTTAGAAGCACAACAAAACACCAGAGCTGCCTGGGGAGCAGAAAAGCAGGATGAGAATCAGCTCAAGGGAAGCCGACCCAGAAACTACTTTTGGGCTAAGCAGAAATTAGTCAGGTGTGGACTGATCCTGCTGGCCTCAGGTCCATGGATACCACCAAGAGAATAAGAAAGCAGGGAGCAGCCAGAGCAGGACCAGCTGCTTCAGCCTCTTCTTCTTTCTCCTGACTCTACCTGTTTAAGCAAAAGTGGCTCAGAGCTGCCTGAGGGCACTCCCCAAATCTCTGACCAGAGGAGCCTCTCAACATTGCTTTTCCTCTTTCCAATGTCACCTATCTCCAGAGAGGGACAGAGCTCTTTGAGAACACAGTCTCTGGCCTGCTGTAACCCATCCCCGACACATCAGCCCATGTCTCAGCCTGAGAAGGACCTCCTCACTCAGATGGAAGGTTTTGCTTGCCAGCTCCTGCTTCTCTGCAGTCATCTGCTGCTTCTCCACATTCAGCAACTCCTTTCCACCACGTGCACCAAGTAGTTTCTCCTCAAAGTCCCCTTTCATCTTCTTCACTTCAATCTGCAGCTCTTCTGTGCGGTCGGTTCCGAGTCCAGCTGCAGAGACAACAAACAGGGCTGAGCAGGGACGTACAAGGAGTATGTGTACCTATAGGGATGGGGGGGGGCTTCCTTGCTTTTCCTAAAACCCTCTCAAAACCTCCACCACCCAGCCCTCATGCAGTAATCCAGTCACAATCAGAGCTGAAGATTCGTGCCTCTGCCTAATCCAAGAGGCAAAAAACCTCCTAGCAGCCCATCTCCAGTCCAGCAGCGCTGGCCCCAAGTTTCCCAAGGCACACATTCCCACTGAAACACAGGCAGTGACACCTTTCTTGCTGGGAAGGATTCACTACAGATCTGGCACAGTGTGGAAGCATCTGCTTGCACCGCCGTGACGGGAACAGCAAGCATTTTACAATTCCACACCATCACAGCTTCCATTATTTCCCACCAGATACAAACTGCAGGGGACTATGTGACTGCCTGCCAGTTCAAGAGGTAGGGGAGACCCATGCCCACACCTCAAACATTTTCCCTCACTGTGTGACAGCTGCAACCTGTTTTTTTCTTTTTTAATTAAGATGTAAGCACACGCTCTGTCAGAAAGATCAAGCACAACAGGTACAGTGCTAATCAATTAGGCAGAAGTGAGTGGCAGCACTTGTAGTCCAGCATCAGGTAACCTACGTTACCCAACCACATCAGCAAAAAAACCTTTGTCCACAGTTCCACCATGCTGCTTCAATTTTCTCCACCTTGATTTTATCAGTGGAGTTACCTAAAAAGAAAAGGAAAGGAAATACAATTAAGAAAAGCACTGCTGTAAGCACACTCCCCTTTTCCTTCTCTAGTACATCCCACAAGCCTCAGGATGCCCCACGCCACTCACTGCAGGGCATCATCTCTGCCCTTGCTGGAGAAACCCCATCTGCCCACTACCTGCTACTGCAGAACCTCTCCCTGAAGGCTGACATGCCCTCTCTTAGGGAGGACACCACAGGATAACAGTTTCTTCTGGAAGCAGCTCTCAATATAAACCACTGAATCCTGGCAGCACTCCCTGTCCAAACACAGCAGCATTCTGGATGTGATATGGGTGGAATCGCTGTGCCCCCAGCAATGGGCGATGTGTCCCAAATGATGTAGTGAAGATCAGCCTGGTTACCCATCCCAAGAGATCCATCAAAACCAAGAGATCCATCTGCCTCCGGGTGTCCAAAAGCAGGCCTGCACCATGACCCCAATTGCCCACAGACTCCCACTTTAACCTGCCTATACCATAGATCCTAGCCCTGCTGGGACCAGCAGCACCCTATGCTGCTGCAGAAACACCGAGTGCCACCCTACCTGTCTGAAACGCCTGCAGGTTAGGGTAAAGCAACACAGACCAAATGATGTAATGAAGATCAGCCTCGTTACCCATCCCATGTGCTGATAATGAACACCAGAAGGCAGCTCAGTTCAAGGAAAAAATATGGAGAAGCAAGAAGCTTTGATGGCCAACAGCTCCAGTGAGCACAGGGATGAAGTAACAGGGTTTGCTTGAGGTCGATGACCTGATGGGGCTAGCTTTAGCCAAGTTATAATCATCAAAAGGACTTACACAGCTCAGGGATCATGCCAAGGTCCTTGCACCTGTATTCAGGCTCAGCTCCATTCTTGTATACTATGATTTGGGAGTCACAGTCATCAGCCAGCTTCTAATAGTGAGGTCTGCAGCAGAAGATGACAAAGCAACAAAGCATTCGTATTCCTGCAAGCAGTTGTGTTCAAATAAGGAAAGGACTCACAATGAAGTATTTGTCGTTGAGTTTACATAAAGATGCCCAACTGTAACTTTTCAAGATTTCAGAGAACATGCATGGAAAGGCATCTCCACGCAGGACAAGCAAGCAAGCTGGGACTTCTCCAGGTAGACAGACAGTGAAGAGCAGGAACAACAGAGGTTTAAAATGATTAATTGTAGGGGTATGGAAAGGATGGGGAGGATTCTGCTGTTCACCATCTATTGAAACAAGACTGGCACCATCTCGCAAGATCAGGAGTTGGGTTCAAAACAAACAAGAGGAGGGAGCTGTTCACGTTAGGGGCAGCAGAGCTGTGGCTCCCTTGCCCTGGATCTTACAGATGCTCAGAGATGATATAGCTTCAAGGGGGACCAGGAAGGTTTATTGAAAACAAGTCTACTCATTGAAACTACACCTGACTCAAACAGTCTTGGAGTAGTGCATGCTTGGAGGCCAGAGGAGCACTGAGGGAACGGCGATGGATGCTTCCCCTTTCTCACATGCTTCCCTGGGTACCAGCTTCTGGTCTCAGGCAGGATACGGAGCTGGACATTCAGGCAGACCAAGTAATCAAACATTTTGCTTGATCCCCTACAGTATGTTCTTTTAAATACCAAGCTTGCTTTTTAGATAACATGGGGTCTCTTATTTCTCAGAATCTCTGATAGAAGCAAAAAAGCATCAAGGGATCAGCAGCAAGGAGACTCCATACTAGTCAACCCTCAGCTTTTTGACTAGCATCTCCCCTGCCGCTGGCTACCAGCTATTTCTCCTCTAAACTAACATTTATCCTCAGCCCCTGCAGTACAGGTTCCCTCCCTGCTCACACAGGCAGCAGCGAGCTCACCCCCCGTTACTGCTGTTCACTCAGGAACAGCTCTGCTTACTGCAGGGGGGTTGGACTAGATGACCTCTAAAGGTCCCTTCCAACCCAAAACATTCTATGATTCGTTCTATGACTCTAACCCCTGAATGAGTTCAGAAAACAACTTTCAGAGCTCAGCAGTCACTAAAAGGCGGCAATTATCTCAGCTACTCTTAGAGCTTCCAACAAATTTCTTTATTTTATTCTCTTCCATCTACCAATTCATCCCGTTTCACTTTGGCACAGTATCTTTCCTCTTCTGAAAGCCAACTTCTTTCGGAATGGAGAGCATAAACTACCCACAACAACCAGCTGACTACAGAAAGTTGTGAACTCCGCAACCATTTGCAAAGAAGCACACAAATAACAATTTAAAAGGAGCTCACTCTACACACAAACTTGCCACATTATATCCTTGGCATATTTAAGCACAGTGGCAGCATATGGAAAGGGTATGTCACAGATATGGTTGAAGACTATCTAATTTTTTTGGGGGGGTCCTAATTTCAAGTAACTTTAAACTTTCAATAACCCTTTAGGTGAGCATCACCTTTGGCATGAGGATTTCCCTGGAGATCCTCTGCATAGTACTCTTTTTCTCTCTTTCTGCCTAAAAATATCGGTCTTACTAGTCTTCCTCACAACGGAAAAGAACAAAGCCACTTTAATAAAAAAGGAAAACAGAACAGCTGTGAAAAACAGTGAATTTATGAATTTTCTCTTTTCTGCTCTTTGCCAGGCAAAGGCATCAGACGAATCATGGCAATTTTGTTAATCTGTTACTAAGAATAATTTGGAGTAAGAACAGCAGCAAACTGGCTGCAGACCACAGCCAAGCAGCACTAGACACAGGAGCCATCACCAAAGCCCTTTTCAGAGGCCGCCACCCTCAGCTCTTGGGCTGCAGGTCCCAGACAATGGCATAGACCTGCATGCAAGCAGACTCCTGCCACCTTCTCCTCAAAACCTCTCACTTTCCTGTTAAAAAACAACCCTAAAATCCCCATTCTGCTTTCTGATGAGGCGATTTAGTGCCCCATGGAATGATACCAGAACTGATCTTCGGC